ATTCAGTCCATCATCCAGCCTATACGTTAGAAGCTGAATGTAGACAACTTTATTATCACATAAGACAGAGAGAAAAAAAAAGCCAAAAGACCAAAAAAAAAAATTGGATCACTAATATGAGAATATATGCATAGATACCAGTGTTTCCGCTGGGACATCGACAACCCGCGGTGCTTCTTTAATATACTCCTCCATTGTTGTCAGAAAAGATTGTGGAGGCTGAAGTAAACAATGTAAAGTAATGTATTAAGTAACAGAAACAAGCAATGGTTGTCAATTAAATTTATCAAAAGTTGTCCTCAGTTAGTACCTCTCCTAGAACAGGAAATTGAAAATTCCTTGCAAGTTCCAATCCTTTGCAGGCTTCATATAAATCAGAAAGGCTACGAGCCTGAAAAACAAATTATCCCTTGTTACACACAAAATGAGCGACAAGTAAAATATATACCAACTGAAATAGTCCAACAAAATCACCTGCTGACCTGCACGCTTGTATATCTCAAGGGAAGTGATGAAAAATTATATGAAAAAATAAGTAGGGAATAAGGAAAGCAGAGAGAGATATGATAGCTATGATGGCAAAAAGACAAACTAGACCTACCTTGTCAATGAGATTGATGATTCCATCATTGATAGCACAATAGACTTTAAAACTCTCTTTCAACACCTATAATACGATGATAAAGAAGTTTAGAAATTTTCGAGCTTCGCTTTTGCAGAGCAAGACACCAACAACTGTGTCCAGTTGTGGAAATGTTAATCCTAGGACCAGGGAGAATTTATTACGTACCAGAGCAAGTGCATATTGAATAACATGATTGTGGTTAGCAGCACCTTCTGGCTGAAAAAAGTAAGTGCAGTTCATTGATTAGCAAGTGCAGCCACAACACAATGTCACAAACTATCAACAACAGAAACTAATAACATCAGAAAAAGTACCCTGCAACCGATGAGACGATAGAGAAGCTGCTGTAAAGCTGGCAACTGCTCCAAGAGTTCTTCACCATCTAAATCCCTGGTTCTACTCTACCCCTGGCCATCCGCAATATGCAAAATCGAAACAATCAGAAAAGAAAAAGAGGTATGAACACCAAGAAAAAAAAAAAAGAGTAAACCAACATTTGATACCTTATCCTACCCTGGGGTAGATTTCGGAAGACGTTCTGCATTCAAGCATATATTAAAACCCTGAAGCATTCAAGCCGTTCCTCAAGAAATAATGCATAAGTACATTACCAAGCTGAACAATCCCAGGCTGTAACAAAAAAAACACACATACAACATTCACTCTCTATAGAAAACTCTTTTGATTCTAACACAACACATAAAACCTGCATTGTCATAGTGCCTTCTCTTTTCAGGGTCAGACAAAATGCTATAAGAAAATGCAACTTCCTTGAAAAGTTCAGAAGCATCAGGATTGTTCGCATTCTTATCCGGATGATACCTATCAATTGTATTGGATCCAATAATGTAAAGTCATTAGGATACAATAGATATACACAGAAGGATCTTCAACAAAGTCAAAAGCATGACATAGAAGATTCTTCACATATCAATGGAATTCATAGACACAGTATACAATTCAAATAGGACCAATTCCAGATTTCATATATAACAAACCAGAAACCCTAAGAAATTTTGGCTTACTTGAGAGCTAATTTTCTGTAAGCGGATTTGATTTCTTGATCATTAGCGTCCTTAGGTACACAAAGAACCTCGTAGGGATCCCGTCGATTCGCCGGAGCCGACGAACCTTCAAGCTTTTTCGCGCTCATCTTCGCTCCTCCGACGAATTTGAATCAAAAATATATCAAATTCGAAGGGAATTTGCAGATCCAAGCAGCGGCGGACCTAGAACAATCGCGATTTTCAGGTATCTTCAATCGAGGAATTGAACGAATTTAAGGAATTTTTAAACCTCGGAAACAAACAATGAGCAAAAAAGAACCAGAAACGAGGATCTAAAAAGCTCACCAAATAAGAAGAGATTGGGGAAGAAGAAGAAGAAGATCGAGGAAAGAAAACGAAACAAGGGTTCCAAGTTACAAGTCCAAAAAAAAAAAAGGAATTAAAATCCGTTTTATTTCTTTATTCGTATGACGTAATAACTCGTTGATTTTTCATTTTTTCACTAACTTTTCAACACGACTTAAAAATAATTGAAATTTCTAATTTGACATCTCTTATATCAGTGGACATAAGAAGAGTGATTACATTATTTATATATACACTAAGTTATTAACCCCCGCTACGCGGAGGTTTGTTTTTATCAAATGTTATTAATATATATTTCCGGCTTACTAATCATTTAAGTAACTATATATTGACATTTTTTTTGGTATGAAGTAACTATATATTGACATTAGTGATGCAAAACTACTCAATTTTTTTTATTTTTGATTTTTTTTAACATAAATATTCTTTTAATTATATTTTTAGTATCATTTGTTATTTAAATTTTTGTTATATCATGCCTCATTTTCTCTTACTTGTTTTATATTATTAAAGATTTTGCTATTAGTAAAGCAATTATAAAAATATTTTGAAAAAATATTAGAAACTAAAACTACCAAAATATGTAAATATATGGGCATACATGTGTTTCTCTTAGTTAGTAAATTTTTTGCTATTAATCAAACAATTATAGAATAATATATTTTTGGCCTAAAAGTCAGGTTGACACTTCCCCATTTTAACCGTTTACCACAAGAGTTGATTAAATTTTGTGATAATTCGAGAGATTTTTTGGGATTGGTAAAACCGCGATGTCCCAGAAGACGCCTTATCGTTCTCTCATGTTTTAAATGACTATTTATAAATAGGACAACTACTTTAGAATTTAGAAACTATTCCATTTTCCTTTTTGCGGCTAAGTAGAATTGTTCCCTTTTTTTAACTAAGTTTTTTTGACCTTCACTAACTTATTTTTCTCTCTGTTGTTCGTTGAATATTTTTACTGTTAAGCGACGTGCTCGCAGCTTTAACAAGTGAATCTCGATCAGTGAGCTCCACCGGAACAGCCATGGCCGTCAAGATATAATCGCCTTAACACAAGCCTTGTGAAGCGAGTCTGAGATGACAGTAGGGTGGATCCCGTTTGAGAGAAGCGATTGACACTCCTTGAGAAGCGCACCGGCGATTACGACGACGGTTGTAGTCCCATCTCCGGCGGCTGAATCTTGAGATTTGGAAAGCTCGACTAACATCTTCGCCGCTGGCTGCAAAACCTCCATCTTGTTGAGGATCGTAGCTCCATCGTTAGTAATGATTACCTCGCCGTTCGCCGTGGAAATCATCTTGTCCTTTTCTTTCGGTCCCAAACTCGTACGAACGGCGTCTGAGAAAAATTAGGGCTTTGCTTCTCCTCCCACCACGACAATCGGGATTGATTCGGACGAGAGAGAGAAAGAGAGCGAGATTAGGGTTTAAAATTGAAGGGCTTTCGTATCTTCGAGTCTATGGAAGCTTTCTCTGTTCTCAGGATTCGATTAGAAGCCAAGGTAATTAGTATGATATAGCATTACACGTGTGGGGAGACACGTGCGAAGTGAAGTCAAGTTGCAATTAGGCGAGTGTGGAGTTGACGTGTGGCAGGCGATGACTGGCCAATTCAAGGAGGCCGTTAGCATCTATATGAGCAAGGTGTTCTTAAACTCAATTTTGTGTTTTGTTATCTTTTCTTAAGGAATTGATTTTTTTTTTCTCTCTTGTTGCTGCCATTTGCATTGAACAGGTTGAGAAGATTGTTGTTGAAAATATACTTGCTTTTGATTTAGATAAGACTTGCAGCTAGGTCGGATACTTGCAAATCAGAAGATGATAAGGCATGGGTTTCTATTGTTTATATCAATGATAGAGCAGACTTTCAAGCCCTTTTGTTTCCTCTAATGCTTCGTGGGTGGTTTGTTTCTTGCACAAGGTCTATGAGGAGTTAGCTACAACTGTGGTGACAATAGTTGACTGTGTTGTGAATAACAAGACTCGGGTTTCTCTTTCCTCTCTTCTTTTGTGGTTTCATCGTCTCTTCTTCTTCGTCAGTGGAAGAGATTTCAGGGCCTTCAAGAGAACATGAAGCCATCAATCTAATACCTAAAGTTCGGTATTAACAAAACCATGTAGATCCTTCAATGATACAATGAGTAAATTTACCTTTAGTAGAGATTGGGGAAGAAGGATCTGCTTCTCTAGGCATTAGCTCGATTGTTCAATCTTCTTTAATTGTATCATCAATGTGTTTTTAAGAAGAGTTGCTCTGTAGTCTGTACTCTCCATTAATAATCAAAGGTACAATAAACAAAACAGAACTGATGATCAGAGAACGAACCAAGAACTTCAAAAGTGGACCTCAGATGAAACAATTCCAGTGTTAGGCCTAACGCGATACGTTTTTGGAATTCATGGTCGTAACCTAAACACAATCGAGAAGCCTCAAAAACACAGATATAGGCACACAACTTCTGATTCCAAAATCCTAAAATTCCTAAGTCTAAAAGATAAATAAACAAAATAAAGAGTAGAAGAAGAAGGTTTATTTGCAGTAAGATCGGCACAACTGTTCTCTTCTTCACTTTCCTTTGAACAAGACATCATCACTTTTGTTTTGTATACCTGCATGCCTCAGATATCCCTTGTGGATATCTAGTTTTGGATGTCTTCATGTGATATAGTCGTGGTTACTGATATCGGGCGTGTTCGTTTCTTAGTCGCTCAAGAAGCAACAGCGACAGAAAAAATTAAAGGTGTAAATGCTTTATGTCTTTCACCGTAACAGTTAAAAAGTAAAGCTATTTTAAATTTTGCTTCAAAAATCAAAACGCTGCGACCAGAAAACTGAGCTGGAACAGTCGCAGCGTCCAATTTGAGCTGGCACAGTCGCTGAAAAATCACAGTCCTCACCGTCGAGTTAGTCGCTGGAGTTATTAAGTTGCATCAGAACAGTGTATTTTATTTGTTGCTGTCGCTCCTTGAGCGACTAAGAAACAAACACGCCCATCAGCGTATTAACAGGAAAAAGAAGATAAAGACAAACCAGGGCTATTGGCTATGCTGCAAAAAGTTCTTCAACTCTATTTTGAAAGGTGATTTGCTTAATTTTGAAAACTTTTTAAGTCACTCTAGGAATCTGTTTTCAAACCGAATCTCATCGTGTTTGCATCTCTAAAACTCAGATACAAACTTATCCATTAGAGCTTCTGGTTGTTGTCACAGGGAACGGAGTTGTAAAAGCCGAGCATTTCTCGAAACTCTGATCAAAGGTCTCTTCTCTTGCTCTCGCATCAACGCATCTCTGGTAATGCTACTGATCGTCACCGTGAAGCTGTGTGCTTGATCGCTTCCCCTTGTGAACTGATCTGATATGAGGCAATTCCCTATTTCTTCTCCTCCTTTATTCTAATTCCTCGTTCATCAAGTTCAGACCGATCGAAACAGACTCTCTCATCTTTACAGGACTCAGCAATGAACTCCTCGAGATCAGTGAACCAATCTCGTGATCCCTTGTGTTCCACAGAAGATTTAGCTTGAAACCATAAAATAAGTTTACAAATTTAGGTTTCTCTCTTGAATGGTGTGATTAATGAGATGATTTGTGTTGGTGATTCGAGCACATTTTATAGGTTTATGAAAAATTTGTGTCATTTGCACAATAACAAGGATCAAATTTGAAGATTCTTCATTCCCAAACTCATGTTTTTTGTTACTACTATAACAAAACAACAAAACAAAACATAAGTAAACTTATCTCTATAGGACAAGATCAGAAATCCATGGATTTAGCCTTTCATTTTTTCTTATTCCTTTTCTTGCTTCCATTTGTGTTAGTCTTCTTCTTCGGCTTCTCTTCCTCCGGTGGCTGTTGACTTTGCAAATGCTGAAATATCGAACCAATTGGATCAGCTTGAAAAGCTGGATGGTCTAGAACCTTATTCAATCTTTCCCCTTCCGTCAATCTAAAAACACACAACACAATCCTTCAGATTCAATTGGCAACAAAGAAAGTTCAACCACAGTGGAAATGGAGAGTTTACACAAGCTTTTGTCGCCTTTTACAGTTCATCTTCAACTCGGGTGCAGGAAGAGCTGACTTCTGCAAAGCATTAAACTCAGGAAGAAACTCCGAGAGGTTGGTGAGATCATACGCCTTTTAACTTCTTTTGACGGCTGTGGATTTTCTTCTTCTGAACAAACCGTACTTAGAGTTACCCTCATTAGCAAATCATACATATATATAAAAAGTTCAAAGCTTTCACAATAATAGAAGTAAGCTCATTTACAAACTCCTACAATTCCTACAATGCCTGCACTAAACAATGGACACAAATTGCAGTATCGCAACATTCTTAATAATTTCTAACATAGATTGATACTTTCACTAATGGGGGAAACATAATCCTAAGGGAAGTGTTTACCTTGCCAATCTCCTTTTGGACAGACAAAGAAGTAATTGTATCTTTGACCTCTGCATTCACAAACAAAGTTTCAGACACATTGCAATTTCTTTGTTTAGGAGAAAAAACTTCGAATTCGAGCTTACTTGCGTAAAATTGAAGCTTCTTATCGAATTTCTTAAAAATGAAAAATAACATCAGAAACTTTGTGTCACTAAACCAAATCTCAAACACAAAACCATTACAGAACCAAAAAAAAAAAAATCTGAGCCCATATGAACAATCGTTTGAAAAAAACCACAAGCTTTGCTTGGTTTGCCCATTTTGACAGATCTAAGTGTCTTCAAATCTTCAACGATTTCAAACTCAGGTTTTTAGCGAAAGCTAATCGAACAAGATTTAGGGTTTTAGATTGAACAAAGAGAGTGAAATTTGAATGCCTTTGTAAATTCGGATCTTATGACCCGACCCGGAAAATGGAACTTGTTTATATCAGTAATGTTGGGCCTACGCAGACATATCTTTCAACCATTATGAGCCCAAATGCTGTTTAATTATTACATCATTGTTTTAGCACATAGTAAAGAAAAATACTAGGGGTGAACCCTTATATTCACTCTCTATATTTGAGCCAATCAAAATTTGTCATCTAATAATAATAATAAAAATTTAATTTAATTATAAAATCTAATTTACCACTAAAACGAAATTATGTATCGGTTTGAGTTTATTAGAAAGGATCAAGGTTTAGATTTTATGATTAAACAAGGTTAAATATCGGTTTGGGTTTATAAACAGATTTAGATTTTACAATTAAACGAGGTTAAATGTCGGTTTGGGTTTAGAAAGTACGATTAGGGTTTAGATTTTATGATTAAACGAGGTTAAATATCGGTTTGGGTTTATAAACAAATTTAGATTTTACAATTAAACGAGGTTAGATGTCGGTTTGGGTTTATAAAGTACGATCATGGTTTAGATTTAATGATTAAACGAGGTTAAATATCGGTTTGGGTTTATAAACAAATTTAGATTTTACAATTAAACGAGGTTAGATGTCGGTTTGGGTTTATAAAATACGATTAGGGTTTAGATTTTTTACGATTAAACGAGTTTAAATGGCGGTTTGGGTTTACAAAGGAGAATTAGGGTTTAGATTTTGTAATTAACGAGATTAAATATCGGTTTGGGTGTACAAAAGAATGGTTAGGGATTAAATTTAATAATTAAATGAGTTTAATTTTTTTTATTAAGTGGCGAATTTTGATTGGTTAAAATAAAAGGGGGTGAATAAAAGGATTCACCCCTAGGGGTGAACCCAAGTATTGCTCATGACTAATCGGTCTAGGCAACTGATTAAAGTGTTTTAAAAGGATTTTCATTGAAGTTTTTGGAATAAATAAAAACACATTTAAAAAAAAAGAAAAATTATAGTCTAAATAATATATTTAACTTTTACATTTTCAAAACATGTAAAAAGTAAATATTATGGATACATAATCGTTGCTTAATCTCCGATTAATTGGCTGGATCAAACGCTTGATTAGCGTCTACCGAAATATTAATATTGATTTTAAGTATTAGCAAATAAATTTTGTGTTAACCAAAATAAAATGGAGACAACCAGACAATCAATTCAAGTCTTTAAAAAATTTGGTAAATTTGATTGCTCATATTGTTTGTGTGATGTTCTTCTAACAGGATTGCGATATCAACTTGGATGGAGAAATTGATAGGGATGAGTTTGTGAAGTTTATTGAGCAGATTACGGCTGAGACATTTAACGTGGTGAGTCAGGGTTTGATCATATCTTTGATTGTGGCTCCAACTGTGGCTATTGCGACGAAGAAGGCCACGGAAGGTGTCCCGGGAGTTGGCAAAGTTGTGCAGAAGCTGCCTACTTCAATCTATGCTTCTCTTGTGACTCTTGCAGTTGTGTGGGTGAATTCTGATTCAAGTTAAGCTTCTCATATTGCAAAGCTTGCCACCAGAATAAATGTGTTTATACTCCAATTACTAGAACAACTTCTTTTTTACCATGAAAATATAGAAACAACGCACGGATTGGTGTAACTGTTGGATTATACTAGCTTTGTGATTTTCTTTCTCGCTCGACCACTATCTCCATTTCATAGTTCAAATTCTGCTGAATTTTTTTATTACCAACAGCAGTTTTTGTTAATGAACATGAAAATATGGGAATGAGAGCGAAATGAAACGAATGATTCATGTATGGTTGGTGAAGTCATTGAAACAACTCGTGTTTTGATGATGTTATTTGGTTATTTAGTTTGTAACCAAATTTTGACCAAAAAAAAAAAGTTTGTAACCAAATAACAGAGTCAATATTTCTGAGTTTTGTATGTTCATGGAACATTTTTAACTTGAAAAAAAAATTCTATAAAATGATAGTGGATTCGACGGCCTTAAGCTTTCAAATTCGGACTAGCATGAGACAAACACTCAAAGAAAGAGTTATGCATTCAATGAAATAAGCAAGTGTTACAAGATGATAGATTTGACGTAAAAATTTACGAGTGAAGTGAATTAACAAAACTAGTGTTTATCTCTGCTTAGGACAACAAAACAAGCATGAACTAAACAAGATCAGTTTCTATTTCTTGATTGTTCTTACCCTTTCAAGTTTCTATGTATCAGAAACAACCTGACAATTAATCTATGCTCTTGTTCTTCAACTTCTTCCTTTCTTGAAACCTTCCCTGATACACGGTCAAACCTTCCACGCCTAAACCTCAAATTTGCTACATTAATACAAATCTAAAAATACAAGACAGCTCAAACCTATCAAGATTCTCCTAATCCTTACCATTTCAACGATACAACTAAAGCAGAAGTGTTGCTCTTTGCGGTTTTTGGACTAGTTTAAACATGACGATGACTCTGGATTTTTACCCATTGACTATGCTATGTAGGCACCCCTACCTAATAACCATAATGTAGCCATATATAGTCACAAAATAAAATCAATCTACAACGAGCAAGAGGCTCTAAACAGAGTCAGAAGCAAGAATAAAAGCAGTCTAAAGGGTATGGCATAGGGGACGACGACATGAAAGCTGCACAAGTTTGAAAAAAAAACCAACTGAGTTCCTTCATTCTTTAGCAAATTTAACATTTTCCCCTACTTTCCTTTCAAAATCCAACTCAGTTGGTAAGCTGTCAAACAAAGCAACAATCCCCAACAAATCTCCCCAGACTAGCTATGTCTATACGTAAACTACACTAAAATGAATGCCTTACCAAAGTTCTACCGAGAAAAAAATGGCTGAAGCTGATTCAATTTCGTGTGTGGCTCAACTTTGGCTCCAAGGCATAAGTAAGAGATGGGCATGATTCATCTTATTATCCAGAAATGTAGAGTGGCTTGGAACACCATGTGTCAGAGGCCATCAATGTGCATCTGCTGCATATCGACTATGTGGAATTGGGCTATTCATCTGATTTTGGGACGACTATGTGGAATTGGGCTTTGTGGATCCTCCTGAAAAACAAGAATCCAAGGATATCACTATAAGAAGACTAAAAAACCACACTTGATCATCATCAATCTGGAATAGCTACAGCTCCCTTCAACAAAGTCATCAAGTGGATCCAAAGTTAGTATCATCCGTATTAAACTTGCACAGTAGCTAGAATAACTTAGTATTATGAATGATTCTCTCACGTAAACAAGATTATCCAAATTGTGGTTTAAGCTAATGGAGAATCCTGTTGATAAAGTTACCTGATTCTTACCATAAACACTATTTATCAACAGAGACTAACATTTGACACTGACTCATAATGAATATAGAAACAGCTTCAAAATCAAACCCATTGTTCATCATCAACACACATGAAACTAAAAGTAAACAAATCAGGAAGATTACTATTAACCCATTTGCAAGCAAGTAACGATTCTTACCGCTATAAGCAAGACCGTAGCAGGAGACAACGCAAGTCTGAATAACAGTGTTCTCTTGCTTAGTAAAGGGTTTAGATGAAAACCCTAATTTAGACAAGAACCCAGTCCACGATTTGACGAAGAAGAAGCCGAGAAGATCAGCAGCTACATTAAGCGAAGGAATGATTCCGATTGTTAGATTGAGCTTATGGGTAATGATACAGAACAAAATCCCCAACAAGGCGCTAGAGATCAAGCCCCAAATTACGGTTATAGACTTTATCATCGATTAAGACGTATGATTGGGTACATTATCGAATAAGAAAAGGACATGTGTCCTTCAATTAAACCAAATTGATTTTAATAAACAACGGTTATACTTTTTTATGGACTCGGTTTAATGTGAATTTGGTTATGTAAATTTGCTTTGGTTTAAGGGTTGAAGAAACACTCTTCAAACGGTCAAAAACTCAAAATCGAAACGAGTGATATAAATCTGCGTAAGCCTTGGAGACCAAGAGTCTCTTAAATTCACAAAAGTCTCAGTTTTGGATTTCGAATTCTGACCGTTGGGCTCTCAGACACTCTACCAAATTTTGACATCTCCATCTCCGGCGAAATATTTGAGAAGCGTTGAAGCAGAAAAGTTAGATCGTCGAGCATCCGTTGTAACCGATCTCAGCGAAGGGGAAAGAAACGAAGTCTTTGGAGAACGATCTAATGGAGTAGGAGGCGATGTTGAAGAAGATGAAGAACGAGAAGGAGAAGACGGTGGATTTTCTGACGGAGAAAAGACGAGATCCTGCGGAAGAAGAAGAAGGTAAAGTCACGATCGTGTTCAACGCTATAACAATACTTTCTGGGTTCTTCTTTAGATGTTCGGAGGTATGTCAATTGAGATTTGATTAGTTTTTAAGAGATTTTTGGAATTTTTTTTTTAAAAAAATTGAGTTTTAGGTCAATTCGCGATTCGTTTCAAAGGGGATAACATCAATCGATTGATGCAAAATCGAGAATTCATTATCTTCAGAGGATGATCAGAGCTTTGACACTGATGGTTAAGCCACTACGCAGAGAGTTCAAATCTTGATTTCACTAAACGAAGTGACCGAGGAGATAGGTAACAAAACAAATAAAGATTTGAAATTGGATCGCTTATTTGCCACAAAGCTTGATGCTGATTGTTTGTGTCTAGAAGATGCAAAATAGTTAATGGTTTTTTCACCTTTTTAGCATCTGATTAGCCTAATTCACTCGGTTTCATGCACGTTGCTGGACTAACGCTGGATCATCCCATAATCAAACATCCAAGTTCTAGAATTCTTATGACTGTTTGCCCTTGCCTTATGAACAATCATTAACGTGGTCTCTGCAACGATTGTTATACTCATATGATTTGGATTGGTAAGTGAACTAGACAGCTTGATGGTGCCCACGTCGAGTTCTTAAGGTTTGTTTTTCTCTCATCAGGTTTTAGTTTCTGCTAGTGAGACGGACTGAGATCTTTGTGAGCATTTGGACATATAGGTGAGTGATAAGATTGATTGATGATGTTGAATGTTTGTGCTTAAGATACATATGTGGACGAGATATAGTTGATCTTGTTAGATTTAATGGTTGTGATAGAGTTTTCCTTGTTATATTTAATCGATTCTGTCTCTGTATGCTTTTGTTACATTCTTTTTACATATCCGGTAAATTTCTTTGTATTTGCAGAGGGAGTTGGCCAAACTGGAAAGTGAGTTGAGAAGTGCTGGTTAGGCTTCAAGGTTGTTAGGTAGCTCACCATGTTAAGATCTTAGGAAATAGGTTGTACCATGAACTCACTATTATGACTATCTTCTTTGGTATGGCAGTTACACTTATAATTTCTCCCTGCATTTATTTATTTTCTTGTTCACAATCTAATTGATCTATAGTATTCTGGAGGTTTGAGTTATGACTTATGATCTATCCCATTTCTTACCGCTAAAGAAAGAGGTAGTCCACATAACTTCATATGTCTTTAGCCAGTAGTAAGAAAACATTAAGGGCTAATTCAGTTTCTTGCAGAAGACAAAGTGACGACAAAAAACAAGAAGAAGAACGAGATGTTGACCCTAACAAACCCAAAAGGTCTTGCTTCTTCATTCTTTCTATCCCATGTGACTTTGATATCTTCTGGTACTTTTTCTGTGATCTGCTCTTGCCATGACAAGGTACTTACTTTTTGCTCTGCTGCATTTTTCTTCGTTTTCTTTCTTATCTTTGCATGTCATAAGTGAAAGGCTTCAAAACTTTCAAGTGATGATTGTGTAGTATGTGTCGACCTTCTTGCGGTGCTCCTCGTGGAACACTCCTCCAGGTAAACAAACCTCCTGCATAATGTGTCTGACTGTTTGAAGAAGTTTTAACTATCTCTCCTGCCTGATTTCAGGGATTTGGAAGCATTTTCATTTAAATCACTATCACAGGTAGCATAAATGAGTTCATGTTTTCTGACCCGTTCCTCCCTGTTCTGGACTTATGTTTCGTCTCTTTTCTATGTAGTTACTTCACTATAACAGGTAGCCGAAGCTAGTTCATGTTTTTTTGACCCGCTTCTCCCTGTTCTGGACTTATGTTTCATCTCTTTTCTATGTAGTTGCTTCAATTTCTACTTTGCCATCCAAGCTGGAATGTTCGTAAAACAGCTTACAATTCTGTTACAAAGATCTTCCTCACAACTTCACAGCTAGCCACTACACTTTTAGACGAGTTCTCGGATTTTCTTCCCCTAACTGGGGACCAAATTGTTTCTTTTAGAACCAGGTACAAATTATAAGCTCTTTTTGTATTATTATTTCATCCCACCAAGCCACTAGGTATATTTCTGCCAGTTTTGGATTTTTATTCTTAAATTCTTTTCACCCCACCCAGCCAGTAGGTATACTGCTGCATGTTCTGTGTTTAGTTATCGCTAATGTTATCACTATTATTTTTCTGATCTTGTCTTTTTATTAACAGTAACGATTTATTCATTCTAGGAACTAACTTGGCACCTCTGCAGTGACGCAGATAATCCCGTGGATCATCAAGCTCCTTTCGTCCCTTCTGTAGAGGTTTTAGTGAAGGCTTTGATTGTCATTTCATCGGCAGCAGTTACTGGACCTCCAAGCTCATGGATTGTTCAAGCCATATTCTGCTCGCATCATCCCAGCGTAGTTGGTACTGGAACAAGAGAAGATGTTTGGAAGGTAATCTTCTTACATGATTCAACTTGTAGCATATTGGATTTAATAATATCTTCTTCTAATCATTTTTTAAAGAAAGGCTAGAGAAGCTGCAAATTCGGGGAGAAGGGACATTGCAAAGTTGACCAAGAAAGCTGGTACATATCTAGCAAAGCACTCTATAGTTTTAATATTGTGTCCCCAGCATATATATATTCTTCAGCGAATTAATAATTGTAGACAAAGGAAAAACGGCAAAGGAAGAGGCATGGGAACTGATGTTCAAAGAGGAGGCCTCAAAACGGGAAAATGTTCACAGGATACAAATAAATTGATGTACTCGACTGGGGCTCCCCAAGTTATTGTCCTCCTATTGTTTTTCGTAGTTTCACCATCTGATGCTCTGTGATATTTATGCTTGCAGGTAGTGGCAGAATCAGCAGATGATATATAGGCCCGCTATGGTCATGATTTGGGGACTGATTATTCAGGAATCTTTAAAGCACTTTCTCATATAAATCTCAATGTCTGTTTAGCTGCAGCAGAACCACTGGCTGATGCTCTTTATGAAAGCCCGACATCAATCCAGGTCACTGCCTTTCTTGAATTGTTACTTTTTGTGGCAATAAGTATGGTTTTTCAAAGATTAATTGGTTTTGAAGCTATCTCTTTCCACTTTATTTCTCTGTACATCCGTGATGCTACGTCTGGTGAGGATGTCTTTGATGCTGATTGGATAGGAAGGCAGGGAATTGCCTTAGCACTGCAATCTGCTGCTGATGTATTGACAACAAAGGACCTTCTTGCTGTTATGACCTTTTTGATATCCCGCGCATTGGTATTTCTTCTCATCTTGTCATTTTATGTTGTTCTTGGAAACTATAGCTTGAAGCTTTTGACTGTCAGAAATTTATATGAAACCGAGTGTTTTTCTCAAGTGCAGGTTGATCCCAACACAGATGTTCGTGGAAAGATGATCAATGCTGGTATCATGATTATGATAAGCATGGCAAAGAAAACGTTTCATTGTTGTTCCCCATCTTTGAGAATTATTTAAATAAAGAGGTTTGTTATACAAGAAACTGCAAACCTGCTGGATACACCGTTTGTTTCATGATTATTACGAATTGCTTCGGAGCTTCAGCTTCATCATATCTCTTATCGTGTAGGCATCTGATAAGGAGGAATATGACCTGCTTCGTGAGGGTGTTGTTATATTCACCGGAGCACTAGCAAAGCACTTAGCAAGAGTAATAACTCCAGCATTTGTTTAAATCTCGACACAATGCACATGATTTCCTTCTCTATCTTTAATATTCACTAAGAACAACATAAAATGTGGAAAATGTGTTGGAGGTGTTTTGGCTCCAGGAGAGAGTGTTTTTGCACCATCAGAATCCGTGAAACGTGCCTTTCTCCACTTGTGCTATCAAAGCAAGTATGTTTTCTACAAATTTTACTATACCTTTGGTTCCTATTGGCTTTGGCCTGAGAAGTATATCAGTCTGTTTGGTGAAGTTTAAGGTCTATCGTCTGTTTTCTCTGATGATTCGTTAGGAGGAGGCCCCTGCCCTTTTTTTGAGCTCTTGGATAAGCTAATGAAGAGTGATAACTATGGTGAGCGTAGAGGAGCAGCTTTTGGTCTTGCGGGAGTAGTTATGGGCTTTGGAATTTCTAGCTTGAAGAAATACGGTCTTATAGTCACTTTGCAAGAAGCACTTATTGACAGGTATTTCTTATGCATTTTATTTAACTTTATTTATATGGTAATATGGTATATAAAATTTATTGTATAGGTGCTGCTTTTGGAGTTCATTTTGGCTTTTGAAGCCATTCAAGTTTGTGTTTGGATATTTTTTATGTATATTTTGCTGAGTTTTTGTAGCTGTTCACGGTGGTGCTGCCCTATTGGGGCACCAAAAATATTCACATAGAGTTAAATAGTGTGGAGAAGAAGAAGAAGAATCTCTTCAGGCTATGTCCGTTTTGGCAGAGGAGAAGCACCACTTCTTCATCTTCGTCTTCAACACAGGATCCAAACCAAAACTACTGTAGCCGCCATGGACATCGGAATACAGATGTTTCCGCCGTCTCTAAACCTTTCTTGACTATGTCTTCCGTCGCGAGATCACTTCTTCCAGCTCGCCGTCGTCTCCGACTAGATCCTTCAAGTTATCTGTATTTCCCTTGTACGTCTTCTTTGTTAAGTTTCTGCCATCGATTTAGCTTGATTTCGAATAAGTTTAGTTCTCTGGAAATTGATTGATTTGGTTCTGGATTCTGATTGTTTTTGTACATAGAAGCTCTCTGTGGAAGTGATTTTGTGCTAAGATGCTCTAGACTTTTGGATTTCCATTTTTTAGATAACGAGGTTCGAACTTGTGCTTTGTGTTTATTTCAGATGAACCTGGTAAACATGTGTGTAGCGCAATCAAGCTTAAGAATATTAGCAAATCTCATACTGCATTCAAGGTAATGGAGTTTTATGTATCCTTCACTTCAAATTTGTGGTTCTTGATTCTCGCATTTGATAATTATTTGGGAACAAGTTAAGCAAATGCAAAGAAGTTGACTCTTTGTTGACTTTAGTTTGTTCTATATGTAGTTATAATGATATAATAATTGGTGCTTTTCCATCTAAGTCACTCTGTATCTTTTAGTTTATTTCCAAACAACGGCACCTAAGAGTTGTTATATGCGTCCTTCCGGAGGTGTTTTGGCTCCAGGAGAGAGTGTTTTTGCTACTGGTAACGAGATTCTGGAATTCTTTGGTTTTTGTACTTTTAACTAGTTTATTACAGCCTCTGATTTTTGCTTCTTGTTTATGTTCAAGTGCAGTTTTCAAGTTTGTGGAACATCCAGAGAACAATGTAAAACAGAAGTTGAACCAGAAGAGCAAGGTTAAGTTTAAGATTATTAGCCTGAAAGTTAAACCAGGCGTAGAGTATGTGCCTGAGTTGGTATGTTATCAGTCGCTCCTTTCTAAATCTTATCAGTTTACATAAAAGTCAATTTGTTGGAGGCAATTTTATTCAATCTTAGAATATATTTGTAGGCTGAAACATTGCAACTGGTAAATAGGTTTTCAAAGGACAAGCCCTGTCCGTCTTAGAGAGTCTTAGGCACAAGTCTATCGATGATGCATTTTTGGGTTTTTATCGTGTAGTTTGATGAGCAAAAGGATCAAGTAGCAGTGGAGCAGGTTCTTCGGGTCGTTTTTATTGATGCGGACCGCCCGAGTGCTGTAAGCTCTTAAGTAGAATTTCCATGGCTGTTTGAAACTCTAAAATCTGATACAAGCAATGTTGAAAGATATGGAGCTTCTCAGGGATTAAGTGAGGTATGTAGAAAAATATGTGTTTTTTGTGGCATTGTTTCTTTTAGTCAAAACACATGGTTTGATGTCGTGGAAATACACAAACTTATCTATTGGCTTTTAACACTATAAGCTTAATCTTGTTATCTTCACGGTTTTCAATACATCGATTTTCCAATACATCATTGCATGAGTATGAGGGTTTTACTGTTCAATTATAAGCGGATTGATTCTCTTAATTTACATTTAACTTGAAGAAACGTTGCTGTACATATGCTTTTGTACTCTTATTTGGTACCTTCTTTTAATGTTTCAATCAAGTACATTTGAAACTGATATGGTGTATGGCAAATGGAAATACAAAAACTTACAAATCATTTATCTCAGCGGCTGCTTATCAAATGTTTCCCCAAGTTGTAGCTGCATCTGTTAGAACGTTTTCTCCTTATGTTTCAGGTTATAGCAGCTCTTGGGACAGATTACTTTGAGAATATACTTCCTGATCTCATTCGTCATTGTTCTCATCAAAAAGCATCAGTCCGAGATGGATACCTTACGCTTTTCAAGGTGAAACCAGTTGCTCCTTAGATGTTCCTTAAACGTCAGTTTTGTAAAAAATTCTTAAAGCTTTTGTTTGTTACTCGCAGTTCTTACCAAGATCCTTGGGTGCTCAATTCGAGAAGTGCTTGCAGCTTGTCTTACCGGCCATTCTGAATGGTGGACCAATTACTTTTTGGCAGACTTTTAACTTCTGAACTAGGTTCTGACTCATTGAGTAAATTGGTGGTGCTCTATGATGTTTTAGGTCTTGCCCATGAGAATGAATCTGTTCGGGATGCAGCCCTAGGGGCTGGCCATGTACTGGTGGAGCACCATGCTACAACGTATAAATTTACACTATATAAGCTTCTCTCTGATTTTTTTGGCATAGTTAACTAGATTAGCTAATGTTGACCTAACATGATCCGTAGATTGATTAAATTTTTAAGCCAGTAGGTGCCATTATTGTTACTCTTGAATTTGTGGTAGATTACATTGATAAATTCTGTTTGAATTGAGTTTATTTAGATCTCAGGTCTTGTATCAGGAGATTGGATCCTGTAATTAACATTGGTTTTGCAGGTCTCTACCTCTTCTTCGTCCAGTTGTGGAGGATGGTATTTTCAATGCTAATTGGCGTATCCGTCAAAGTTTCATTGAACTGCTTGGGGATCTATTGTTCAAGGTTAACAGCATTTTTTGTGTTGTCTTTTTCTTGTTGTTTATCCTTCCTTTCTAAACCTGTAGTCTAGTATTTACGTGGTGACCAATGTTCAGAGGTAACAGCTAACCTATAGCAAATACACCAAAGACTTTGAAGGAAATAATGCCAATTTTGATGAGTACCTTAATTTCTTCTTTGGCATCACCATCCTCTGAGAGGCACCAGGTTTGTTTCTTTTGTTTCTTTCCTTATATTTTATTGTATGAGTCTATTATACTGTGTAGCTAGCAGGAAGATCACTTGGAGAGCTGGTTAGGAAGCTTGGTGAAAGGGTGCTTCCTTTATCATTCCAATTTTATTTAAGGGACTGAAAGACCCAGATGTTGACAAAAGACAAGTAAGCTTCGTGATGAATCAATCATTTTGTCTCTTTCTCTAAAACTTTACACTGTAGAGCATAGTTATTTTGGTAGAAGTTATTATTGCGACCATGCTAACCATGAAGTGAATATTTCGGTGTTATTTATCTGAGTAGAGCTGCCACCGTTTCTTTGTTCTAGTTATTGTGTATTTCATATCTCTTAAATGAGCTGTGTATCACTGCATGATTTGTGTCCTGCTGCATTGTTTTATGTCCATTTGTGATGCTTAAATGTTTTCATATCTATCAACTGATGCTAATCATAGGATTGTTTGCTTAAATCTGATATGCAGACTTATCAGGCACATGTTATTCATCTAACAGCTTGATATTATATGATTGACAGGGTGTATGTATTGGCCTGAATGAAGTGATGGCAAGTGCTGGAAGGAGTCAGATGCTGAGTTTCATGGATCAGCTCATTCCCACAATTCGACGACACTTTGTGATAGGTTTGATTTATTCTATATGCATCAGCTTCTAATTTCGCATGTTTCTTTATGCTATTAAAAATTTAACATTTCTAAACTTCTACAACTTTCTTCTATAGTGCTCTTGAGGTTCGTTAATCTGCTGGACTAGCATTTAGCACTCTGTATAAGGTACCTATTCTGACTTGTGTTGCTTATCAGATTGTTCTAGTTCACTCTATATGTATCGTTCGTCTACTTTTGTAATGTAGAGTGCTGGATTGCAAGCAATGGATGAGATTATCCCAACTCTTCTGGAAGCCTTAGAAGATGATGAAATGTCTACTACTGCCTTGGATGGACTTAAACAAATTATAAGGTTTTCTTCTACTGTTTCCTCAGGCTCTTCTTCCCCTAGTCAGTTCAAAGTTTTATGGTTTACTGAATTTACTTTTGTAATTGCTATTTTCATAACAGGGTAAAAAATTAAGATTTTCATCACCCTTAAATTTGTATGAAAGCTATTTTTATTTATGGGTAAGATTCTCTTTCTTTTTGTAGGAAGTCCAAGAATTGGCACAAGATGCCGCAGAGAGGGTGGTCCTTGTCATTGATGAAGAAGGAGTTTAGACTCTATTACCAGAACTTCTCAAAGGAGTGTCTGATAGTCAGGTTCGTTTGTAATTTTTTAAAGAAGTATTTGTATTTTAGCATGTAAGTAATTAGGTTTGTATTGTTTTCAGGCTTCAATTAGAAGAAGTTCTGCATATCTAATTGGTTACTTCTTCAAGAGTAGCAAGCTTTACTTAATTGATGAAGCTCCAAACATGATATCTACCTTGATTGTTATGCTCAGTGATTCTGATTCAACGACTGTTACGGTAGGCTACTTGACCAGAAAGAAAATAGTTGAAGCGAGCATGTCTTGTCTAACTTATTCTCTTTTAAACAGGTTTCCTGGGAAGCTTTGCTAGGGTTATTGGTTCAGTTCCAAAGGAAGTACTTCATATATAAAACTTGTACGCGAAGCTGTATCTACTGCTAGGGACAAAGAGCGCAAGAAGCGGAAGGTGAACTTTTTGCTATTTTTCAAAAAATGTCACTATATAAGAAGATCAATGAGCAATCATATTACGGATGAAGCGATATTTTCTGTAGACTAATCTATAAAATATACTGTTACTTGAATTGCAGGGAGGATATGTTGTTATTCCTGGTCTATGCCTCCCCAAATCCGTTAAGCCATTACTTCCAGTATTTTTACAGGTATTCTTTATACCTTGCTTTTCTAGCGCTCAAGGCCACCTTAAATCAGATCATTTGAATTGTGTATAAGCAGTAGTTCTTGGTGGCTTGAGCTAATCTCACATTAGCTTTTTTACTCCCAAAGTCGAGTTGCATTCAGTAAAAAATGGGAATATCATTGATACCTATAACAAGGTAGCATCTTGTGAAGAGGAATATGACCTGGTTCATGAGGGTGTTGCTATATTCACTGGAGCACTTAGCAAGAGTGATAGCTCTACCATTTGTTTAAATCTCGATATAATGCACCTGATTTCCTTCTCTATCTTATATATTAACTAATGATGGTAGGATGATCTTAAAGTCCATAAGATTGTGGAAAAACTGTTGGAGGTGTTGAATACACCATCAGAATCTGTGCAACGTGCAGTCTCAACATGCCTTTCTCCACTTGTTCTATCAAAGCAAGTATGTTTCCTACCTATTTTGAGATCTCACCTAAACAAATTTTACTATACGTTAGGTTCGTAGTTGCTTTGGCCTGAGGAGTATATCTGTCTGTTTGGTGAAGCTTAAGGTCTATCGTCGTTTGTCTCTGATGATTTGTTAGAAGGAGGCCTCTGCCCTTTTTTCTAGGCTTTTGGATAAGCTAATGAAGAGTGATAAATATGGTGAGCGTATAGGAGCAGCGTTTGGTCTTGAGGGAGTAGTTATGGGCTTTGGAATTTCTAGTTTGAAAAAATATTGTCTTATAGTCACTTTGCAAGAAGCACTTATTGACAGGTATTTCTTATGCATCTTTCTTATATATATATATATATATATATATATATGGTATTTAAAATTTATTGTCTATGTGCAGCTTTTGGAGCTCATGTTTGCTTGTGAAGCCATTCAAAAAAAAAAAAAAAAAGATGTGTTTGGATAATTTTTATGTATGTTTTGTTGTTGAGCTGGTCTACTGGGGGCGTCAAACATATTCTTCATAGATTCAAAAATAGTACAGTTGATGGATTAGCTCCACTTGTTATCATCTTTAGTAATACATTGTAGACACAAATGTATATTCACATGAAAATGCTGCCTTGCAAGTCAATATTCCATATTAGTGGGTTAATTAACTGCATGTTTTTGTTTTTATGTCATTGGTGCTATTTGATTTTGTATGACATGTATAATATGTAAAAGTTCACACCCTGTGGAACCTGGTTTTAACAGTCATTGTCTTGTTGTTTCTCTGTTATGGAAACGAGTAAATGGTAACTGAAGTATATTCAGTCAATGTATTTTCTTCTTCCGCTGTTTTTTGTCAAATGATAGTCAGCAAGTGTCGTAGATAGCACAGACGCTGAAGTTTTCTTTCGATAGAACTTAATTTTCTTCTTCCGCTGTTTTTTTTTGTCCTTAACTGGTAGCCTGAAGTTCCAGCATTATTTTTGTCCTTAATCATGTTTTTCATTTTTGTGAACTCCAGATGAAGGAGAAATTATGGACTTTGATATCTCAAAATGAGCCTTCACTACTTTGATCTTCTGGTACTGTGATCTCTTCTTGCCTTGTTAGGGTACTTACTTTTCGCTTTCCTGCATTTTTCTCCGTTTTCTCTCTTATTTTTGTCTAGTATGTGTCGACCTTCTTGAGGTACTCCTTGTGGAACACTCTTCGAGGTTAACCTCCTTCCTAATGTGTGAGATTTGTTGTTTTACTAGTTTGTAGAAGTTTTAACTATCTCTTCTGCCTGATTTCACGGTTACTGAAGCATTTCAGGTAGCCTAAGAGAGTTCATATTTTCTGACCCGTTTCTCCCAGTTTGGGACTTATGTTTCATCCCTTTTATATGCAGTTGCTTCTCTTTCTACTTTGCCATCCAAGCTGGAATGTTCGTAAAACAGCTTACAATTCTGTTACGAAAATCTTCCTCGCAACTTCACAGCTAGCCACTACTCTCTTAGACGAGTTCTAGGATTTTCTTTACATAACTGGGGACCAGATCGTTTCTTCTAGAACCAGGTACAAATGATAAGTTCGTTTTGTATTCTTAAACTCTTTAAATGGATTTGACAAGTTTGAGGTATTTTGAAGCCTGGGAAATCACTAATGTAGAGTTGCTTTTAAATGTAAGTGTTGTTATGTGTGTTGTTTGTTTGCTTAGGGTTCTAACACAACGAATTCGTGAAAGCTGCAAAATCAGATGACGAAATCCAGTTTGTAGAAACAAGCGACAGCGATGTTGCGAAACTTCTTTTCCTGACCTTAAACCAATAATGTGTTTATTGGGATTGTTAAAACTGAGGCTGAAAGTTACACTGTATATGGTAAGCTTGTTGGTTGTTGCTGATTTTGAAGACCTCTCTTGTTATTATCAGATCATTTTCCTGTTATCTATATCGTGAGAAGTGGTAACACCTGTCTGCAATGCAGATGGATCTTACAAAATGGAGAAGATATTGGAGTTTCTAGGCAGCAACAAGTTTCCGTTGATTACAAAATTGACTGAAACCAATACTGTTTGGGTTTACTCTAGTCCTGTTAAGCTTCAGGTTAGAAGTTTTGGTTCTATCCTTGTTTGCTTTTGATTATGTTTTTATCTAAATTTTGTTTTTCTTTACTTCCTTTGTCAGGTTATGCTCTTCTCCAAGGCTGATGATTTTCAGAAACTTGCTCAGGCTCTTGAAGATATTGCAAGAAAATTTAAATCGAAGGTAATTCTCATATGTTGAATCTTAAAGACCAGAGAAAATTTGTGTTTAGACTCTACTGGTTATTCTTTTCTTTCACCTTATGTTAATATATGCCGATATAACAAATGAGAACCTTGCAATGCCATTCTTGACCTTATTCGGAATAGAAGCTGGGAATAAAACTGTTGTAAGTTTCGGATTGACACTTTGTGATCTACTGATAATTCTTGACCTTATTCGGTTGACCTGAGTCTGTGTGATTGACAATTTTTGATCTACTGATAATAATGCTAAGCCAATGTGGGACTAATATATAGTTTTTATCAACAGGTTGCTGCTTTTGATAACAACCTGAACTCCAAGTATTTGCTCGAATCAGATCCTCCACCAAACAATATAGAATTATGAATCTGCTTTACCTTTTTTTTTTTTTCTTTCAAATATTCATATTGTAACTGATTCATGTGATCCTGTTTTTCATTTGTAATTTAGGACTTTTGTTCAGGACTCGCTCATGGAGTTGTTTCACGCTACTATAAGTCAGAGCCAGTTCCAGATAATGCAAGTATGGGATATAGTCGTATAGAATCCTCTTTTGATGTTCTTTTTGGGATATCGTCGAGTCTGAAGAGACTTGGAACAAATACGAGCTAAGATCAAACCCGGTGTAATCTGCAGGAAAACGCAAGCAGACTGTGGTGGGAAAGACTTTTGATGAGTTGGTATTAAACAGAGCTCTAATATTTTACTTTGACATTTCATACATAGTGCAATGGGTAATATTAATTTTCAGTAGCAAGTTTTGAGTAGTTCATACTTTATTTTTTTTTTTGTCTTTGTTTCTAATAACATGTTTTTCGTATTGCTTGTTGTAGAGTTCTAATCATTCTCTAAAGAAAGGATTGGCTGGTAGAGAAGCTGCATATTTGGGGAGAAGAGACACTGCAAAGTTGACCAAGAAAGCTGGTACATATCTAGCAAAGCACTCTATACTTTTAATACTATCATATATATATTCTTCAGTGAATCAATAATTGCAGACAAAGGAAAAACTGCGAGGAAGGGGGACGGGAACTGATGATCAAAGAGGAGGCCTCATCACGCGACCATGTTCACAGGACAAAAAAAGTCTTTCGTTGGTGCTTCATGCTATTGGGGAGATGTGTTTTGTCACAACCAGTTTCTATATTGTACATTCGTTTAATTTTGGTGTCAGATTCCCTTTACATTGTGCTCATTTTTTTGCTAGGTGTTGTTCCCGTATATCAAGTATCAGTTGGACCTGCACTGAATGAATTGTGTCTTCGATTTCAAGCAGCTGATGTCGCCAATGTATTTCTTTTAACCATGTATTATGAGCAAAATTTCCAGTTCCAGAGAGTTATATTTCATTTATTTTTGTTTACAGGCGCTCTATGGAGTCTATTCAAAAGATGTTCGTGCCAGAATGGCTTGCTTAAACGCTGTAAAGTGTTTTCCTGCCTTTTCCAAATGCTCCCTTCCTCAGAATGTTGACCCTGAAAAGGTTAACCTTCATAATTTGATGTGATATCTAATTATGTTATCTGTACATAAATTTTGTTTATATAATTGTTTGCGGTGTCAACTAGAATAAATTGATGTCACCAAGTTATTGTCCTCCTATTGTTTTTCGTAGTTGCACCATCTGATGCTATGTGATCTTTATGCTTGTAGTGAGTGGTTGAATCCGCAGATGATATATGGGCCCAATATGGTCATACTCATGATTTGGGGACTGATTATTCAGGAATCTTTAAAGCTCTTTCTCATATAAATCTCAATGTCCGTTTAGCTGCAGCAGGAGCACTGGCTGATGCTCTTCATGAAAGCCCGATATCATTCCAGGTCACTGCATTTCTTGAATTATTACTTTGGTAATGGTGGAGGAGAAATTATGGACTTTGATATCTCAAAATGAGCCTTCACTTGTGCAAATTACTTTGGTAAAATTTTCTAAATATTTCTTCTGGTACAGTGATCTCCTCTTGCCATGGCAGGGTACTTACTTTTTGCTTTGCTGCATTGTTCTTCGTTTTTTTTCTTATATTTTCATTTCACAACTGAAAGGCCTCAAAACTTTCAAGTGATGATTGTGTAGTATGTGTCGACCTTCTTGCGGTGCTCACACTCCTCCAGGTAAACCTCCTGCGTAATGTGTGAGATTTGTTGTTTGACTGTTTGTAGAAGTTTTAACTATCTCTGCTGCCTGATTTTACGGTTATTGAAGCATTTTCATTGAAATCCCTATCACAGGTAGCCTAAGAGAGTTCATGTTTCATCCCTTTTCTATGCAGTTGCTTCTCTTTCTAGTTGTCCATCCAAGCTGGAATGTTCGTAAAACAGCTTACAATTCTGATATGAACATCTTCCTCGCAACTTCACAGCTAGCCACTACTCTTTTAGACGCTACTCTTTTAGACTCTACTCTTTTAGACAAATCGTACAAATGGTAAGATCGTTTTGTATTCTTAAATTCTTTTCACCCCACCCAGCAAGTAGGTATACTGCTGCATGTTCTGTGTTTAGTTATCGCTAATGTTCTATCCTATTATTTCTCTGATCTGGGCTTTTCATTAACAGTTCTATTCATTTGACATTTTGAAAGGTTTAGACCTAAATGCCAATAATGACTTATTCATTTTAGGAACTAACTTGGCACCTCTGTAGTGATGCAGATAATCATGTGGATCATCAAGCTCCTTTCGTCCCTTCTGTAGAGGTGTTAGTGAAGGCTTTGATTGTCATTTCATCGACATCAGTTTCTGGACCTCCAAGCTCATGGATTGTTCGTGCCATATTCTGCTCGCATCATTCGACATGGTTAATTCTACTTACTCATATTTTTTTTTGCACTTTTTAATAGTGATTTACACCTTCGGATATACGCAGAGATTGCAAAAGTGTCTCAAAACTTATGGTTTTGATGTTACTACTTTTTTGTCTACCAATGGGGAAAGGGTTTGCAAGGTAATCTCACGACTGTCAATGAATTCTATGTGCCAAAACTTGTGTTTTTATTGTTTCTTAGCATTACCAATCAACTATTGATTTGATTGATTGTTTTAGAGTCTACTTGGACCAATGGGTTTAATGAGTACTAAAACTCCCGAACAGGAAGGCGGCCGTATATTCCTTGTCCACCATGATGTCTCTGGCACCAGAGGATACATTCACAGTGTTTAAGATGGGTTTTTTTAAGGAAATTGTTTTACTAATCAAAGAGACTTTACCGTTTCAATAGTTCCATGATGTCTTATGTTTTATTTTTTCTAGCATCTACAAGACCTTCCAGATCGACTATCTCATGATATTATGCTCTGAGAGACTAAGAGTAAAGTAAAAAGTCTCCTCACTTTTACTTTGTCTTCTTGAGTAAATTATGGAGTTAGCATTTCTTTCCTCTCTTTGTAGACACTTGTTGAACTCTAATATTTTGCTTGGACGTTTCATACAAAGTGCAATGGGTAAATATTAATTTTCATCTGCAAGTTTTGAGTAGTAAAAACTCTAATATTTTATGTTTTTATTCAGATCTTTCATACACCTGAGGGGATGCTTTTAAGTGAACAAGCTATCTATGTTGCTCAGACGATTGGTGCCAAGTACACAAACCAGGAGCCGGTACTTGCATTGTTTTTATTCTATTTTTATGTTTTTCACTTGTTACATGATTCAACTTTTAGCATATTGGATCCAATAACATCTTTTTCGATTTCTTGTTGTAGAGTTCTAATCATTCTCTAAAGAAAGGAGTGGCTAGTAGAGAAGCTGCAAATTCGGGGAGAAGGGACATTGCAAAGTTGGCTAAGAAAGCTGGTACATATCTAGCGAAGCACTCTATAGTTTTAATATTATATCCCCATATATATATTCTTCGGCGAATTAATTATTGCAGACCAAGGAAAAACGGCAAAGGAACTGATGCTCAAAGAGGAGGCCTCAACACGCAGAAATTTTCACAGGATACAAAAAAGTCTTTTGTTGGTGCTTCTTCATTCCCTTGGGGAGATGGGTCTTGCTAATCCTTTGTTTTGTCACAGCCAGTTACCTTTTTTGAAGTAATTAATGGGTTCTTTACAGGAAGCTTAGAACGCTAAGGAAAAGACTCACGACTACCAGTTGAAAATTTATATGTAGACACATGTTCAATGATTTTGATTGGTTGATGAATGTGAAGAGCATAGGGAGCCTCCTAAAACCAAGTAGTATGTGCCTGGGGTATGTTTTCATCACCACATACATCAGTTTTTCCAATTAACCTACACCTTGAACACTTGTTTTTTAGTAATTCTAACTTCTTTGGTTGATTCAGTGCCAGTTGCACTAGGGTTAGGATCATTAACGCATTTGATGCTTAGCTATTGCAAAACTCTTGTTGTGTGTTCATTTGTGTGTTCAATGTTCTTGTTACTTATGGTGTACGTTTTCAGGAGAATTTGCCAAAGTGGCGTACTGATGAAAACTAGGAGAATTTGCAAAAGTGTCCACATAGAGGATTTGTTCAAGGATAAGGACGACATTATGAGGAAGAAGGAGGAGGTAAAGGGAAATGGGCATCAGAGAGTTGAGAGATGAAGAAGTTGCAGCAGCAGGAATATCCGGATTTTGCGGAAGTCAAGGTGGTGTTGGATATGTTTAAGGACTTACCGCCGATCGTGTTCGCCGGAAAAGGCAAGCCATGATGTATGAAGCCTCTCTGTTACATGAAGAAGAATTGCCAGAGAGTTTCAACGAATTTAATGCTAGTAACATTCATGACACCTTCGGGATTCTTCTCCATATGGGTGATGTTTAGATGTTCAGAGGTCAAGTCCATGTCATTAAGGTTAATGATATTTGACTTAACTTTTAAGAAATATAGAATTTTGTTTACTGAGATTTGAGTTTTAGCTTGGAAGAATGTCGGATCAATTCACAAAGGCGAGATAGGATTCGTTCGAGGAGAAAAACAGAGCATAATTTCCTAGTCACAAAGGGGGTAACATCAATGGAGAGTCTGATCCTTAGAGGATGATCAGAACTGATTTCCAAAAGATTATATTGATTCAACAGCAACTCCAACCATTATGTCTACACCATTATATGAAGATACTGATCTAGGTATATAATTTCTCTCTTATATTATTTTCTTTGGTATCTTTCATTAGGAATATAGTTTTGTCAATTGATTGATTGTTCATTTTTTTCCTGGTTGATTGTATTTCTCCTATCTTGGTCCTGCTTGTAATTTTCAACATACTTATATCATCATTTTGACGTAATCTAGAAGAAAAAAAAAACTTCAATGCCCAATTATCCTGATACCATAAATGACATTGGGCTATTCAGTTCGATACCCATCATGCTATTTATTAACTCGCAGCTTTATTCAGTTCAATACCCCTCAAGATGTTTCTTCTCATCTATGTTAATTAGTTAGATCTACTTTACTTAAGTAAGAATATAATAAGCCACATATGTTTCAACACTTTATTTTTCTCTGTTTTCTTGTCCTTTCTATGTTGACTTTGGTTTTTTTTTTGGTTTTTACGTTTGCTAAGAGTTTTTCTCAATATCTTGTTCTTTTCAGGAAGCTCAAAAATATAATTGGTGGGTCTCCTTTCCAAGTAAATGGACATGTCTCATATCATCGTCGTAAACATGTTCGATGATTTTTACAGGTTAATGAATCTTGAAAAAAATTGTCTTTCAATAAACTCCACTGTCTATGTACAATCAATTCTTTCTTTTGGCTATTCTCTGGTTGATTCAGTGAATTCATGAGTTTGTCAGCAACATATCTCTTGTTCTTGTTACTTATGATGTGTGTTTTCAGGAGAATTTGCAAAATTGGCTTACTTGTGAAGGGCCAGGGATCACTTAGTCATCTGTTCTGGCCTTATACTAAAGTTTTATCGAATGATGCTAGGCCAAAGAAGTCTGAACCTGTTGATAAGAATCTTGTAAGACAGTTACATCTTCCTCTGTAAATCCCATATTTGTTACTTAAAACTTTAGAGCAATGTTATATGCATGGTCACCATCATATTAATTAGTGATATTTTATTTCTATGTAGTATTGGACAGAGAGTTATGTGCAGGGTCTCCTCAAGGTACACTTCACAAGCAAGGGGCAGTTATTTGGAATGGTGTTTATAACTTCACCCGTCTTATGCGTTATCAGCATACTATGGTTTGACATTCCTTGTGATTGCTTTGTAGTGCTTCTATATTCTTCTATTGGCCTGAAGTCTGACTCTTCTTTTGTTGATTCCGCTGAAGGCAAATCTAGTTATTTTCCACTTATTTTGCAGTTCAGGTTCTGTGAAATTGAGTGAACGTTAAAAATATAGCTAATCATATGCGTTATGGAGCTTCTTGATAGATGGCTTGCTATAAACTTATTGCTTGATGGAAGATTTGGTAATTGCAGAACAAATTAGATCTTAGAAGGATGAATGTTAGTCATAAAAGAAAAGTAATAAAACTAGAAGGAGGAGTGAAGAAGCTATCGACCCATAAAAACTCGGAATCATGCTAGAATTATGGCAAGAAATTTATAACTTCCAATATTTCTGTGTATGTTTTTTTAATCACTCTTCTTTATATTGGTACTGACTACCCTTTTCCTTTGTCTCATATGCAACACGAAGAAATCAACGTGTTAAAACTTTATCTTGAAGAACTCATTCTGAAATTACGGCGAGCAGACTTAAGTGTTTCTCATGCGAAAGCAGAGTTTGCTTGGTACCGCGCATCTTCTGGAAAGCCAGCAGGCGGGCGGCGTGCGAATCAATTTTGTGCCAACCTAAAGAAGACCGAAGACAAGAGAATGCAGTTTGAGAGAAACACGGCTGACCAAAAGACTAAGGTAACAATATTTGTTATTTGAATAATGATGGATTCTTTGTGACAGTCTCAAAATATCTGATGGTATATGTATGTTTACTCTCGGAATTAAATTTGCATGCAGAGGCTCGGGCTAGAGAATACATGCACAAGGTAAAGCTTCAATAGGTTTCCCAAAAGACTGGCATTACTTAAGACTGATACACTCCAAACAGTTTAAAAAATTGGAGGCAATGATTGAGCAAGTAAAGCCAGAGATTTCGCAAGCTCTGAATTCTTCATTTAGTAAAGGTTTTGGGAAACCTCGGGCTTCTGGCTCTCCAAATGGTCAAGAATTGCACAACAAGCTTAAAACTGTAGTTGCAACCAGGCTGAAAGAGGTAACTAGCTGAAATAGTTATCTATCTATATGTTGAAAATGTTATCCTGCTCCCAGATATTTTTATTGAATTTTAAACTCTCCAATGTAGATAGCATGACCCGTGATGTTAATCGAGTTTTTCTCCGAGTCCAACAGAATGTAACAAAATTCTGTCGTAAGTAGTTATTTAGCTTATTATCTCTTGCCCATGTTGATTAGTTTTTACATTTTTTTTTGCATCTGTAATAATATATAAAGAATAATCTTTAACCTCTGTGGAACCTGGTTATACTAGTCATTGTCTTGTTGTTCCTCTGTTGTGGTAAATGATATTTCCTTCTTCTGCTTTTTTTTTTGTTAGGCATTAGGAAACTTATTTGGAGTTTTAGGGTTTGCTGATTTCTGTAATCCCAGTGTTCTTGTTTGGAAATTCCACAGATTGGTGATAAGGTCTGCTACTATTGAAGAAATAGAAGCAGAGAAGTCTGCAATTAAGACTGATGTTGTAAGTTCTTTACAAGTTTTTGGTTACTGATTAGTGGAAACTGGAAACGTGAATCACTTTGGAAGTGATTTTGGTTTCTGTTTTGTGCAATCCAAAAATCAAAGATGGAGAAGACCATTGAAACGCTTCGGGCGAGTTTCAACTCCATAAGGACAGGGAGATCCAATGCAGCAGTGCATGAAAAGATTGAGGTATTAAGATTTATAGCTGCCAAATCTGGTTCCATATGTATAACTTGATAATTTTTTGATCTTTGCTTCCTCAGGTGGAATATTATGGAAGTCCAGTAAGTTTGAAAAGCATTGCCCAAATCAGTACTCCAGATGGAAGTTCTCTTTTGCTGCAACCATATAACAAATCCAGGTACATGACTTATGGTGCGCTAATGGTTTTCAGTAGAAGAGTTTTCGCGTCTGCTTTCTCTTGGTCGGATCCCAATGCTTTCAGTTTCAAGGCTATAGAGAAGGCCATTGTGAATTCTGATCTTGGAGTGACCCCTAATAACAATGGAGATAATGGAGATGTGATTCGACTATCCTTACCTCCCCCTCACTTCTGAGAGAAGAAAGGTATCTCTTCCTGGCAATTAAACTCGGTTGAATTTTCTAGGTCAGTAATTTTGCAACGTGTATATTCTATACTGCTTTACCTTTGAATTGTACCACTGCAGGAACTATCAAAGGTTGCTGCAAAACAGTCTGAAGAAGGGAAGGTCAGTAGTAATGTTTGCCAGGTAACTCTTTTTTTCATCTACGGTTTGGGACATGTTTGTTGATGAGTCCTGAGGAAGTAACTAGCTATAGGTGGTCATGCAAGTTTGGGGAAGTTGAGGTTCCAGCAGAGGATTTAGTATGTTGTGTTCTTGGCTATCATTGCCCCCGCTACATGAAGTCGGTCAAGTCCCGTTTTAGGTTGACTCTTCCGCGAGGAGTTACCATCAACTTCCATGATACAAAAGAGTTGTCTCCTCTACATTGGGCTACATTCAGTGGCAGCCAAGGGTACTTATCTTCCTTCAGTTTCTTTTGGTCTCATAAACACTTCTATATACTTTGTCATGAATTTGAAATTTCTCAGTCCTCTTATGAATAAGTGAGCTGTAACTTCTTACCATATCAAAACTAATTCTGAGTACTTGTCTCTCTTGATGCTGGAGAATTGACGGAGCCATCTTCATAACATCAATTGGGTAAAACAGTTCTGAAAGAAGATTATTGGGAAGAGGAAATCCGAGGCTAAAGAAATAGACGCTCAACAGGTAGACAACAACACAATTAGACTTGACAAAATATGTCAATTTTCCCAGTCCTTTTTGTAATGCTTACTGAAATTCGTTACTGAAATAGACCAAGGTAACAATATTTGTTATTTTGAACAGTGATGGATTCGTAGTGACAGTCTAAATATATCTGATGGTATATGTGTGTTTACTCTCAGAACTAAATTTGCATGCAGAGGGTCAGGCTAGAGAATACATTCACAAGGTAAAGCTAGTTCATAACTGATTGACTAGCTTCAATAGTTTTCCCAAAAGACTGACATTACTTTGACTGATCCACTCCAAACAGTTTCAAAACTGGAGGCAATGACAAAGCAAGTATAGCCATAGATTGCTCGAGCTATGTATTCTTCCGCGAGTAAAATTTATGGGAAGCTTCGGGCTTCTGGCTCTCAAAATGGTCAAGAATTGCGCTACAAATGTGATATGATTAGGAGCCTGAAACTGTAGTTGCAACCCGGCTGAAAGAGGTAACTAGTCGAAATAGTTATCTATCTATATGTTGAAAATGTTATTCTGCTCCCAGATATTTTTATTGAATTTTAAACTCTCCAATGTAGACAGCATGACCCGTTATGTTAATTGAGCTTTGCTCAGAGTCCAACAGAGCGTGACAAATTCTGTAGTAAGTATTTATTTAGCTTATTTTTTCTTGCCTATGTTAATTAGTTTTTACATGTTTTTTTTTTTTGTATCCGTAATAAAAATAATGAATTATCTTTAATCTCTGTGGAACCTGGTCATTTTCTTGTTGTGCCTCTGTTGTGGAAACTGGTAATGATTATTCTTCTGCTTTTTTTTGTCAGTAATTCTTGGATAGTCAGCAAATATTGAAGATAGGAAAGACGCTTCAACTTAATTGTTTAGATTCACGAGGAACTATAATTTTTCTTAGGAAGATTTATAAGTTTGTGATAGTATAATATGAAACATCTCTTGTCTTTAATGTTCTGTATATAGGATTCTGAAGTCTCTCACCTCAAGCAACGACTCAATGAATATTATGAGGAAAGGTAATTGTAAGCAAGTTTTCAACTATAAGGATATGGGTTTTGGTCACTTCCAGTTGTCTTATCATAGTATCCATTACAATATCTGAATGCAGATGGATACTGCGCTCAAAAGGGTCATACATGTGGTACGACTCAACAGGAATGAGAGCATCATTGATGGTACCCTTAACCCATGAATGAGAACCACGTCGCTGTGAATTTGTTGGACCATTGCAATCCCTAATGTTGTGACCAGCATTGGCAACATGAACCGCTCCACATTCACTACAAGCAAACACGGGAACAACATGAAGAAGCTGTGCTAAACCCTTAATCAACAACTTCCAGTTATCTATCACTTGATACGCCACAGGAATAAGATTTGGAACTAGCAACCCATTTTTGGGAGGGTCTAACTGTTTCTCTATACCCATCTGAGCAAGCTTCTTATCTTTCCTAGCCTCTTCTTGAATTTGCTTAAAAGGAATCGGATAAGGTTTCTTCTTGTTCTTTGGTAAAATAGGAGGAAGATCCACATTCTGCGTAGATACATGCCGTTTCTTGAAACTTGTCTGCTCTCTATGCTTCTGATTAAAACAAAAGACCGTTCCTAACCTCATCAAACACTCCCTTTGAGATACTGAAGGAGGAATCTGCATATATAAGAAAAATCCAAACTTTACAACTTTAAGACTGGAATCAATAAGATCAAAGTTACAGGATGAAATGGTAACCTGAAAGCAACTTGCGTAAGAGCCTCTAGCTGAAAAATCAATGGACTTTGGATCTATGGTCTGAAGATAAACACCTCTACAAGCAGGCAAAACTAGAAGCATGTTGACTAGTGAGAGGACTATAAGTAAGAACCCAAATCAGAATTAAGACAAAAGTGATTACTTTCCCCGATTCCTGCAACATTAAAGGAAACAGGTGAGGATTTGGAAAACGATTAAATCGTTTAGTAATTTCATCGAACATGTGGTGTGCATAATACAAAAACAGAGAATTAGAGAAGTTATACACTGAAGAGAATTGAGAAATCTGCGGTCCATGAAATGGATTCCACGATGCTGCGTTATTCGTCGGAGAAAACTGGAGTTTTAAGAGAAAACGAAATCTGCTCAGACGACGTCGCCTCTGGTAAATAAGAAGCCGATTCACTACATTAATCTTTCCGGTTTCAAATGGATTGATTTCACAACTTTTCCATTATTAGTTACACGGGTTTATATTTCTCCATTATTAATTACATTGGCTTATATTTTTCTTTTGTTTAACTCGAGGTCTCCACGATCAAGCGTGGAATGAAGCAAAAAAAAAATTATTTTCAATCGTTTTGCTTTAATTTGTGTTTTTCTTCTGTTTATCGCCTTTGTCGTTTGGATTGTTTTCAGCAGATAAAAAAAAAACAGTCTAATATCTCGATCTGAAATAAAATAGTCAACATGGATTAGTTTTGAAATTAATTTTGAAGAACGGATAGGGTGTTTTGTTCCTTTAGACAGTATTGAAGATTAGATTACCTATGTTGTCCTAATCATCACACTTATGGGAAGTTAATTATCCATGTCCTAATCATCTGAATAGTAGCATAAGTCTTTGCCATTTTTGAACTGGTCAAAATATTCCGGATTCCAACTTTTCACAGCACATTAGTTCCAGTTATGGATACATCAATTTTGATATATCACATCATCATCAAACCCTTTACCCTTACATGAACTTTGATAACAGTGGGTCATGTGTATAGACATGACCAAGTGTTGAAGTTGAGGTCAGAAAGTATATGATTCCAAACAGTGGCTGTGTCTATGATCAAACAAGGACGACACCTCATGCATGTTTTAGATTGGTTTTATCAAGTTCAAGTCCTGGAGAGAGGCCACAAAGCTGGGCGATTGACGAAGTTGAAGGACTAATCGTAAAGGAATTTTAACACCCACGTTATACTAATGCAAAATTCAACAAGAAATGTTGTTTTATTTTCGTCCTATCTAAAAAAACCAAACACTACTCCTTCGGTCCTTCCCTTCTACTCTCTTTTACATCTCAACAGACACATTATTATCAACACAAAAGAAAAATGAAAACAGTTTCATTGTTTGGTCCTAGACTCTCAATGCAATTGTAAGTTATACATGGCTAACATATATTTCAATCTAATCCAAAATAGAAGTCCAAATGCATTCAAAGGCCTCAAACTCCAACCTATAATTACTAACCCTTTTCACTGGCCATCTCACATCACTAATCTCTTCAAACATCTCATTACCATCATCTAAGACAGGAAAAAGAGATTCGGGTAGACTCCAATCAAGAGAGGTCGAGATCATACTCTCCTTCATCCACGGGAACTCAAACACTCCGAAACTCTCCTCATTACTCCCACTTCTCTTCTCCTCCATCTTGTTTTCTACATTGCTGGCTCTCACATGTTGTCTCTTCTTGCTCTTCTTAGTATGCTCGTCATTTTTCTTGCGTTTATGGCTTGTAGACGAACCCTCCATCGATCAAAAAGAAAATGTGAGATTTGATGAGATTTGGAGTGAATTGAGAATTAAATTTATAAATGGGAATGAAAAAGTGGGAGGGGAGGAGAGGGAGTCACGCCTTCTTACTCGTATGTATCTGTCATTTAGCATTTTAAAAGCAAACCAACCAAATCCTTTTGTGTTGTTTTCGTGTTTTCCTTCTTTTACGTTCCCATTTCTCTCTCTCCCAACCACACAAGCAATTGAAAAACGTTTTAAGATATATATCAAGGATGAGGTGGACATTAAGAGACAAATGGCTATTTTTAGCATTCTTTTATTTCACTCACAAACACTGATCACCACTAATGATAACTAAATATTATGAAAATAGAACACAAATTATTCTTAGTTAATATGACAGTTAAATTGAGTAATCTTTAAAGCAATTTATGTTGTCCTAAACCCTTGTTCGAAAAAAGAAAAAACTAGTTGTTCTATATATATATATACCGTGAAAAGAGAACAACGGTAGAATAAAGAAAGAAAAATTGAATGCTTGGATTTCTTTGATTTTCGTACGTTTTTATATATAATAATTTAATCGTTTTATGCGGTTTTATGACCTAAAGAAATAATTTTCTAGTATTTTAGTGTCTTACGTCTTTACATGTCAAGAACGTGGAAAATGCAAAAAGAAGAAAGCAAACATGTTATGTACTTAAGAGATTCGACATTTGTTGAAGTACTAAATTGAATGATCTTTATATCAAACTAAAGCTAGAGAGTTAGCAATGTCCCGAGTAATTTTCTTTAGTTGTTCAAAAGATATGGTAATTGTATAAAGACATGTCAATTTGGCGGCAAACGGTGCAAAGGAAGAAGTTGGCCTAGAAGATTGATTGAGGGTCGACCTCATCTAACCTCATCCGTGGTTGACTTCAGCACACACCCACATGGTCGACCACCAAGGTAACTTCATAACCAAGCTTGTCGTACAAGCTAAAATCTTAATCGAGAATCTTGCTACGAGAGGGGCTGCAACATTTGTCTAGACTATAACATAGCGGTTTTGATTTGTCATATTTTTTACCACTTTTGACTCTTATCGCCTCTATGTTTTCATTAGGGATGGGCATTTTGACCTAATTGAACCAAACCGAACCGAACTAACCGAACTAAAACCGATCTAAACAAAACCATATCTTTAAACTCAAAACATTCAGTTATGTTTCTTTTAAAAACGATCGAATCCGATAAACCATTTAATTAATTAATAGTATTAAATAATTTTGTAGATACTAGATAGTAAATATGTAATCTTTTACCTACATTACACTTGATTTGACACGTTTATTTTTTTTCCTTTTCTAATAAATTAATTAATGTAAAATTGCATTCTAACCCTGGATTCCTTGAAGAGTAAAGTCGTCGAAAGCTACAACCAAGTTCCAAAACCACAAGAAACAAAAAGACTTCGATTGAACACAAACCACAAAAAAACTAAATCGAATTAAACCAAACCAAACAAAACCAAACCAAACATAAACCGATTCAGACACAAACCAAATCAATCTAAGTTCGGGTGAAAACAGAATTAATCGAACCGAATGGAACCTAAACCGAACCTGAACCTAATCAAAATTCCCACCACTAGTTTTATTAGTTTATAATTTCTTTTTAGTTTTTATTCAGTCATTATAGGTGAAAACATGGTTCAGAAAAACTTAGAAACTATGGATAAAAACTGAAGAAAATAAGAGAAGACGTACGAATGGTGGTATAGATCATCAATATACACCTTTTGTATCGACCAATACAACCTCTAAGACGAAGTTTTGAACCCCTCAGAAGACGATGTCAATGTCGATTGATTCATGTTACGGTATCAATCGATACACATCGGACATGAAACACGGAGTTCATCGCATGAAGTAATATCGATCGACATCACCCTTGGTATCAATTGATACTCCTCTTTGAGGCAGCAAAAAAAAATGTAAGTTTCTCAATTTGCGTAGAAAAAGTCGGCTCTGACTTACGCTAAACGGATCACATCCTTATAACTACTTATTTTGCAACCATTTATAAGCACACATTCATATTTTCTCAAACTTTTTGTTACTTTTAGATTTAGTTATTTTATGCTTTTGGGAGACAAATAGTTGCCTCTACGTTGAGAAGTTTTTTGAACCTTATTTACTTTTTAATAAGGTAATCTCTTTTCTCTATTTGTTTGATGTTTCTTTCTTCATGTCTGAATATATTAGTAGTTATATATGTTTTAGGATTTCAATAAGATTTCATATGAATGATTAGTTAGGGTTGTTAGACATGGAAAATAGTTATTAGATTTATCTATCGTTGCTCTTAATGTTTTGTGTATCTTGATAACCTAGATAACTGATCTCTAGGTTCAGTTTATGCACCAAAAGTGATTATATGCACAAATTTTGATGGATAGATGTATGTATGTATGTATCCATCAGATTTGAAAAAAAAAAAAAGATGTATGTATCACAACGAGAGTTAGTTATAGATCATTCTATAACATATCAGATTTGAACGATAATAAATAGGAATTTATTTTGTTTGATCGAGGCTTTACATATATGTATTTTAAATTAGTTACCTTCCATAGTAACTACTTGAATTGATTCTATCCATAAACCCTGGAGATCCCCTTGAAGCCAACATTTTCCCCATTTGTTTTATGAAAACCGTTATTCATTGTTTTATTTTTGCATTGACTCATTTAGCATAAGACCTTCCATAGTAAGTACTTGAGTTATTTTTCTCGCAAGAAAAACACTTCAAATTGTTGATTCAACGCCAGAGATGGCTTAGAACCAATAGTTCATTATCTAATGGATTTTTCCGTTGTAATACTCGATCCAAGAGTTATTGGTATTTATCAAATTTGTTCCTATCAAACGTAACACTATTGAATCGAATGACAAAGACATTTTTGAAAAAACGACGGCTTTTCTCGGATGAAATAAAAATAGGATTCATGTAATGTAACATGAGAAAGGTTTCCCATTACTTAGCCGGCTTTACACATATGTATTTTTTGTTGTTTACTTAATTAATTAATTTAGAAAAATCATTTTGTAATTTATTAATTTAGAAAATAGAAAAATAAACTATTTTTTGATTTTTTTTCTTTTCAAAATAGCCACGTAAAGTTACAAAATAGTCGCTAAGTATATACCGTCACTATTTAGTCTTTAATATACGATTATAATATTATGACACAACGTAGTCGCTACTATACGACTATTTTATGGATTCACATTTTAGTCGGGAATTAGCGTCTATTTTGCGACCATTTTATTTCGCGACAACAAATTTGCGACTACCCGAAACTGTCCTCAATTAGTCTCACATATTTACTTTGCAACCATTTTGAGACTGTAATATCATATATAATGGTTGATCGCGATACACATGTTTTCTTGTAGTTAACATGTTAAGACACAAAGCATGTCAAATATTAGTCCAAGAAACCTAACTACATTTTTTATGGTTAGCTTATGACTTCAACAAATAAAACATAAAAGTTTGAAACTATTTTGATTAATACTTTTTATTTTGATCATTCTAATATTATCAAAATAAAATATTTACAAAAATTTTGTAAGATCTTTGACTTTTTGGTTTGTTTAATTCAAAGGTGAAAATTAAAATTAATTAATTTTGAACTTATTGGTCCACCTTGTTTTTCGATGATAAATGTTTCTCTAGCCAAATGTTTGATTGGTTCATGTTTGTGTTTAAATTTAGCTAATGCCTTCATACACTACACTTTGATGTCTTAGATTCATAGTAGTACAAAAGAACTTATAAAACAGAAAATGAATCATCTCATTGTTTTTGTAATAGTTATTTCCATGTATTTTGGTGTAAATGAAAGTTGGACTGTAGTACCATGGGGTTGCGAGGATAACACATTAGAATTTCGAAACGAACTTGTTCCCAATAGTATTCTCAAGGTTAATTGCACATCTAAAGACAACACCCTAGCCGTCCACGATGTGTTATTCAATGGTAAGTATAATTTAGTTTCGGCGAGCATGTAAGCAAAAGAGCAATATGGAAATGTCTCTTGAGACAAGGTCATTATCATCATATCTTATGGAGAGCATATAGAGGAGCCTCTAAGCGGCGATGTCGTCAAAGACGATCATGGATTGCAAAAGTTGATGGGATTTACTTAGAAAGAAATAGTGGACCGCAGACTCGCATGCATGTCTGGTTTAAAAATTAATGTGTGTGTTTTTTTTTGTAAAAATTAATTGTGCTTTTTTGTTTGGATTTAAATGGTTTTAAGTGATCTTAAGTGGGCGGTTATACAAAATCTTTAATCTATTATTATTTAATTTATTTACTGTTAGTGTATTTTTTCAATATCTAACTACATAGATTTAAATTTATAATTTTTAACTCAATAGACATAGTTATAAACGTGCATATATTGTTTGATATGAATTAAATGAATGCTATTGTCTAATTTTTGTTTAGGGTTTAAATTCTAATAGATTATTTTGTAATTTGATCTATAATATCATATATAATGTGTTACGATGTAAACGCTTAAACCGCCTAAAATCGCCTAGGCTTAGGTTAGGCGTTTTAGGCGATAGCCACTAGGTCACTGCCGGTTTAGCATCTGGTGCTTAGTGACAAACTGAAAATCTTTACGAGTTCTATAGGAAAAGGTATTTGCGACAATGTAGTAAGGAAAACACGACTCACAGTTTCTTGTGGTATATAGAGGACTCCATGACGTATATGTACGTTTTCTTGTTTGCCTTAATAGTGAACGTGGAAGACAAAAAGAAATAGTACATACTCTATGAAAATGTTTTATTCTTAAAAGATTTGAGATTACAATTAATTGAAATAAGTTAAAGTTATCTATGAACTATGAATCTCAAATGGCCATGATAATACATAATCTAGCTATTTCAAAACTAGAAATATTCTCCAATTTAACTTTTTCAAACTCAAGATATGGCTAGAAAAAAATCACTTAAGCCGCATCATAGCGCAGAAATTTACCTAA